CCCGCCTGTCACACCCCCCACACACACACACACGAGCGCGTGCACACACACACACACACCTACCTGCACACCCCTACCTGCCCACACACCCCACAAAAAACCACCACCCCCGCAGCTGCGTGTTGCGGCCTTCATCAAGGCCCTCCACGAGGTCACGCGCGCAGAGCTGCACCGCGGCTTCGACTGAGAACACTATATTGTCCGAACCTTGGTCCCGGCCTCAGACGCTCGCAACCAGCCCGCGCCGCGCCGTGCGGCGGCCGCCCTGGACGCGCGGGCGGCGGCGCGCGGGCGCGGCCTGGCTCGCGGTTTGCGGGCCGCGCGGCTTTGTGCTTGACTGGGCGGCCGCGAGGACGGCGGCGCGCGCTCGCGCGTGGGGCGCCCTGCCTGGGCCCCCCCCTGCTTTCCAACTGCGACCCTCTCCCGCCTCCTGGTCTCTGAAGTTTCCTTGCTCTGCTTGTTTCGTGTCGTGTGTGGGGCAGTATGCGGGGCAAGCACTCGGGAACGCAATTCGTGGAGGATACGGCGGAACACCTGGGGTCTTGAGGGGCGCCGTTTGACCAGCCGCGCGTGCTCGCACTGCGCCGCGCTCTGTGCCGCTTCCCGGCGCCGCACGCGCGGCCCCACCCGCGCCGCGGCCCCCGCTATCGCGAACGCTTGGGGGCGGCGGCAGCCCCCCGTTATCAACGAGAAATGGCCCATTCAACGTGACAACGTAGTATTACGAACCTGACACAGGCTGATTGCAACACCATACCATCGTCCCTTCCCCATCCGCTAGCTGGGGCGATTGGCGGGCTGTTTGGCAGTGGGTCACGCATTACTGTTGTCCGTAGCAGCAGCAGGGGTGGTGATGAGGGGGCGCGGTGGAGGGGGCTCCCGCGGAGGGGGCTGCTGCGGAGGGGGCTGCTGCGGGACCACTGCGCCTGCAGCACACGGCCCTCGGCCCCTGCAGCCGCAGACCAAACACGAGAGACGGAATCTCCGTGCAGGCGATTGGCGGGGGCCGCTTGTAGACGTTGATGCTAGCTGGCGCGTCAGCTGGAGCCCAACAGCGCGACCCCCAGCAGCCGTGTCACGAGGCCGGTGGCGCAGCTCTTCGTCGCTGCGCGTACAATGCGCCTGTGCATGCTCGCTCGCCGGCATGCGCTACATGTGTGTGTGTGTGTGTGTGTGTGTGTGTGTGTGTGTGTGTGTGTGTGTGTGCGCGTGCGTGTGCGTGTGCGTGTGTGTGTGTGTGTGTACACGCGCGCGCAAAGCCTGTTTACAGACGCAGCTTTGGTCCGGCTGTCCACAGTACAGGCAGGCGCGTGGCACGCTGCACGTGTGCCGCATGCTGCTGGCGCTGGCGGTGGCTTGCTGGTGGTTTGGTGCGGGGGGTGCGTCACAGCCAAGCAGAACACAGTGCGACTGCTGCACAAAGGTACATACGCTGATATGCACAGGCCGGCACAACACAGCCCAAACCAGGAAAGCGACTGGCATCAGCAGCATCACGGTGCAGCCACACTCCCCCCAAGCAAGGGACGGCGCCTCCAAAGATTGATTACACATCGCCGGGAAGCAGCCACAGCCTACTACGTGCGTGCGCCTGGCGAGGGTTCTTGGGACGCGTATTGGTGCACCGCACAGCGTCAGCCGCCTAGCCTCAGCAAAGATCTGGAGGTCGCACCGCCCCAAGTCGCGGCGCGCACGCCCCCCCCCCACACACATGCACACTCCCCACCCCTCGCCCTCCTCTGGTCCTTGGGCTGAGAGAGCATTCTGTGGCGGCACCTCACAGTGCCGCGATCCAAAGCGGCGAGGATGCCCTCCCAGGCTTCAGCCCGGGTCCTTTTCGTGCCAGAGGGATCGCCCAGGGCTGGCGGCGCAACGCAGCGCGGCGCCGCGCGCTGAACTCGCCCTCGGGTGTTGACCGCAAAACGCCGGGTCAACCCCAGTCTGACTGGGGTCCAAGGAGTCTGTAAAGATTTTTCAAACGGTACATGCCCTCAAGAGCCTGAGTCAAGCACGGCCCATTGCATTGCGGTGGGCGAGGCGGCGGGCGAGGCTGGTTGTATCACAAGGGCAAAGCTGCAACACTGGGGGTGCAAAATTGGCTGCACACCGCACCGCCTCGCCCTGCTTCCCTTTGGGGGGAGCGGGGAAGGGAACAACGAACAACCCCAAGCTGCTCAGCGGAGGGTTGTGGCGCATGGCGGCGTCCTTGTGGCGCGCCGGCCGGGGCAGCCCGCAGTTAGCAGCTCTGCGCTGCAGTCTGGAGTCGCCCAGTGTTTGAGTGGGGCTGGGCAGGGTGGCATCGAGCAGTTTGGAGAGTGGTCACATCGTTGATTGGGCAAAGATGGTGACAATTTTGTCAAGCAAGGGTGCACGTGCAAGGCCCAGCAACTGGGAGGTGGTGTGCTGGTGCGGACGCGCCGGGCGCGAGGCGGCCGCTGCTGGGTGACTTTTCGGCGACACATGGGTGCCCGCAGGGCGTGGCCGCAAGGCTGCCACCGTTTTGGTTTGAGATGCACCCGATTGCAAGCTCTGCAGCAAACAGCCGAAACGCAATCCACCTTGCACAACATGTGCGCATGCTTGCTCAACAACGCCACAAGCAGCTGCCCGTCCAACCCAATTCCAAATCATTGTCGACTTCTGGTGCCGTATCTCGCCCCTCCTCACGCCCATTGACGACAAACGCATCACGGACGCTGGTCGCGAGGCTCAGCACAACCAAATCGGAGCCCCCAGATCGATCGCTGACCGCGACATACAACCACTGGCAGGCTTCAATCGTCGCTCAACGGTGACCCGACGAGCGGTCAGTCGCCTCCCGAGGAGAGCCAAATCAGGCGCTCCCACAGCCAGACGCCATGGGACGCACCGCTCCCAACAACGCCAGCGGTCGGCCGCGCAGTGCGCGCTCAGCGCAGGCGCCGTCGTGGCGGGCC